TTCTGCTTTGAATGTCTCTACAACTGGACCCACGACTGCAGTACACACACCGACACCCCAGCCATGGCCTCCTGTCCCGTATGCCAACGGGTCTTCACATTCATTCACTATCGCATCCAATCGGACACTGAGTTCTCGAGGCATTCAATCCATTCGTTCCCATTGTATGGTAAGATCACCGCCGAAGCCACGAGAGCTCACAACTCGTTTGGACATCGGGTCCAACAGTTGGCCCGTCTTAAGCACCAGTTGGACATCATATCCGATGTGAGGACCTCTAGAGTTCACGTGATCAACGAATTACTCCAAGACATTAGAGGCGAACTGTTTGACAATCAAAGTGCCGATGAAATGGTCGCCACTCCGAGTAGAGTTGATTCAAACGGGACGGCAGTTGTCCGGTGTGTGTCTCAAGTGTGCGCTGGACTCGACTTCCGGCTATCGTTTGTCTTCAAACTCATGGCACTAATTGTCGGGTTTATGACGGCTGTAGTGGCGTCCGGCGTATCCCACTCGTGGTAGTTGTCCGGTGTGTGTCTCAAGTGTGCGCTGGACTCGACTTCCGGCTATCGTTTGTCTTCAAACTCATGGCACTAATTGTCGGGTTTATGACGGCTGTAGTGGCGTCCGGCGTATCCCACTCGTGGTCGGCCGTCAAACTCTTCACAAAACTCGTATTTCGTGTGTCTATTGTGCTGGCAGTAGGTCTGGCCTTCCAGTCAATGCTCAAATCCCAGGTCTCCGGATGTGTGTAAATCATTAAAACAAAGTTTTGTCAAATAAATCAAAGTTTCAATTAGTTTAGCATTTGTTTCCGCGTTTGTATTGAGCGCTAAAACCCTCGACTCTATAGCACTGAACCAATGGCAGGCATTGAACTCATTTCTACGCCAAATCATAAATACGTTAAATAAATGCCAAACATTTGGTCCCCTATTTATAGTAATACTGTAACCCCTTATGATAATAGTAAGCATTTCTAATACAAAAACAACACATAATTAGTGGACGTCGTGTAACACATAAAAAGTTGTTTACAAACGAAAAGTGTATTTAACGGCGATTTTGATTGCAATTAATGAATGCTTACGTGAATTAGCATTGAGTTGAGCGTAGATCACGTGACATACGAGTGAAGCAAACGGTTTGTTATTGACATTTGAAACTCATTTACGGCTCAAATGATTGCCAAACGAAACGCAAACGACTTTTTCGCTCATATTTGAGACCTATTTGTGTGACAATTGATACCCAAGTGTTCGCATCCATACACACCACACACCCACCCATGGATCAGATCATCACCGATAGGATGTCGCTGTTCTTGCGGCCGGAGATCAGCGACTTTGTCATCATTGTTGGCGACCAAAGACTTAATGGTAACTGAAGTCCGCAC